AGGAATTCCAGGACTGATATTAGACTATGCACTTCCAAGAAAGTCTGGGCACACCATCTGTTAAAAAGTTTCCAGACCTTAAAAAGGTAGCTTGAACGGGTTTCTTCCTTTCTACTATTTAAGAGGGTGGATACTACCCTAACAGAAAACCCTTTCCTCCTCAACAGCTGTTTTTCAGAAACCGGGCTGCTAGATTCCACCTGCCTACCTGGGGACATAGGACCGGACCCTGTGAGAGAAAATCCTCTTGGCATGGCAACAGCCAAGGAAGATAAGTGGCCAGGGCCATGAGGGTTGAAAACCAGGCCCGCCTGGGCCAGTGCAGGGCTATCAGGATCAGGGAAGTTCACTTGGACCTGAATTTTCTCAAAACCGCCAGCAACAAGGACACTGGGGGAAGGTGTAACACAGGGAAAAGTCCCACCGTTGTGTTAGTGCATCCATTGCCAACGCCCCGTCCCAACGGTTTAAGGAGAAAAATACCAGGACCTTGGCATTCTGGCCTGACGTGAAAAGGTCTATGGATGTAGACCCCCCACTTCTCTATTATGATCTGGTAAATCTCCCAATTAAGTACCCTCAGCTGCCTTCTGCCGGAAAAGTCTGCCACTTAGTTCAAATCCCCTTTCAGGTGGACATGGATAGGGAGGCTACATTGGCCTCGGCCCAGGTGAGCAGTTCTGAGGCAAGGGACCACAGAGTTCTGCTTTGTGTCCCTCCCTGCCTGTTGATGTATGCTATGACCAAGGAGTTGTCCGAGAGCACCCGCAGCTGCTCCTTGAAGGTCACAAGGGTCCGCAACACTGCTTCCATGTCAAAGATCTGCCCATCTCTTCTGGTAGCCAAGAACCCTGCACCACAGACCCCACTAGGTGTGCTCCCCAAACTCTGGCACTCGAGTCCATTGTAACTTCTCTGGAGATGGGAAAGACCCATAATAGCCCCTGAGCTAAATTGGTTGACCTACTCCACCAAAGTGATCTTTTCACCCGAGGAGGGTACCTGTACCAAAGAGTCCAGAGACTGCTGACAGTGATCCCAGACGTCCAAAATGAACAGCTGGAGGGGCCGCAAATGCAGCCCTACCCACTGCACCACCAGAATGGACATGGATTCTCTTAGGGACACAGACCAATTCCCTAGCAGTCACTTGATTTCCCAGTCCAACTTCAGAATTTTCTCCTGGGGTAGGAAGGTTTTCTGAAGGGTGGAATCTAGCTCATACCTCAGGTACACCATCCTTTGGGCAGGGACCAAATTCAACTTGGCCAAGTTTAGCAGCCAACCCAAACCCTTTAAGTGTCTCATCACTAAGGCTACATCCGCAGTCAGCTGTTTCTTTGAATCTGCAAACAGGATATCATCCAGGTATACCACCAGTGAGACTCCCCTTAGACGAAGAGACACCAGGGCCTTGGCCATGATTTTTGTGAAAATCCTGGGCAAGGAGGAAAGCCCAAAAGATCAAAGCTTGGAACTGCAGGTGAAGTACTTTCCTGGGGCTCCACACTGCCAAACCTGTGGAATCTCTGAAAGGGCTCCACATTTGCAACATGTAAGTAGGTGTCCCTTAGGTCTATTGACGCCAGAAAGCAGTTGGGGAGTGGGGAGACCTGACTGACAATATGGAATCCATCTGGAACCTCTTGTGTTTTTATGCACTTGTTCAAGGGGTCTGAGGTTCAGAATGAGCCTGTACTTCCCTGAGGGCTTCCTGACCACGAAGAGATGGGAATAAAAGCCCTCACCGATCTCTGTAGAGTCGACCCCTGCTCCTCCAATTCCTGCAAAGAAGACAGCAAGGCTGACGCCTTCTCTGCACATTTTGTGAGTTCCGTCACTAACAGCCTCTGTGGCGGTGGTTTCCAAAATTCTAGGCAGTACACCCTTCTCACTATACCTATGATAAAGGAACTGCAGGACACCACTTCCCACTGTGAGAGGAAGACTCCAATCTTCCTCCCACCAAGGGAACACAGTCATTGAGACTTTTGGGGCTGCTCAGGAAGATGGAAAATCACTCCTCCACTGCCTCTTTCCTTCTGCCCCCAGGGTCTCTTCTGCTCCTCCAGCCTATTGGCCTGTACCCACTTCTGGGCAAAATTTCTTCCTACCTGCGCCTGGGGCTTTTTCTTAAAATGGAAAGGCCTTTTTCTTGTCAGTGGTGTGGTCCAACAGAGTTTCAAGACCGGGCCCAAAAAGGAAGATAGCCTGTGAATGGGATACCACAAAGTTTAACTCTGCCAGGTTTTAAGCCACAGGGCTTGACTCTGCAGAGTCATCCTCACAGACGCTGCAGAGGCGTCTGCAATATAACCAACCCCCTGTAATAAGGTCTGGAAAGAGGCTAGTATCTTGTCTTTCGGGGAACCTGCAACAATATGGGCATGTAGCTGCTTGAGCCAGTATTTCATGTTCCAAGCTACCCATGTAGTGGCCATGGCAGACTTTAGGTTGGATAGTGTGGAGTCCCAGGACTTCTTAAGAAGGGAATCTTCCCTGCTGTCCATGGTGTCAGAAAGAGCCCCAAATCTTTTAATAGCAAGGTCTGTCTTTCTGGCTACCTGGGAGAATGCCGCATCAAGCTTGGGGCTCTTATTCCACACTGTGGATGAATCTTCATCAAAAGGGAACTTGCATTTGACAGATTTAGCAAAGAATGGTTTTCTCTCTGGGTCCTGCCACTCCTTTTTTATGGATTCTACTAGAACCTCGTGGACTGGGAAGACTCTACACTTTTGTTCCCCCATACCCTGATGCATCTGATCATGCAATTTGAGGGGCTTCCTATCCTCAATCTCCAAGGTAGTATAAATGGCTCCCAGGAAGTCATTGACATCCTCCAGAGATAATTTATCCTCCTCTTCCAACTCAGCCCTCGGACCCCACACCTCCCTACTGGTCGCTGAGGAAACCTGAAGGACCGCTTCCTCGGTCTGTTGAGGGTGAGGGAGCTCTGTGTCTGGGGCAGAGATAAGTTATCTGCAAGGGATCTAAAGGAATCAAAAACATGGCTGTTGGCTCCCTAACTGACTTAAACAGGTCTCCCTGGGAAGGGGATTCCTCCTTAATAAGGCCCTCTATATAAGACCCACACAGCACCTTTGTCCAGGAGTCTTTTTGTGTGTCACCCTGCATGAGGGGCATTGCTTTGTAGTCCCATGGTGTAGCTTAGGCTTCTCTCTAGTTTTTACTTAAAAACAGAACACACAGAGGCCTCCTATTATACCAAAGCCAACCTGCCCCTCCCCCTTTGCATGCTTTCTGTGCAGTGCCTAGCAGGGCATCTCCTAACCTGAGACACCCCCCCCCACCCCCTGTCCATTCACTCCAACCACCAGGACACCCCCTGGAGCTAGGGGCCAAACAGGTAGGGGGAAGAGGCTCCTCTGAGCTGCCTACCTGATTGGCTGGTGCTGGCGTCACCTGGTCCCTCTGCTGTGGACATGGTCCGTAATGGTGGTCCATGTGGCCTGCCTCTGCAGGATGCAGCTCCTTGCATCAGCCTTCACCAGTCTCCACTTTACAGGTCGTGGCTGGAAGCCGCCTCCTGGGAGGAAGTCTCACCCATCAACTAGAAGTGATGTCCCGTCATCCGTTCCGGAAAAAAGCTCCACTATCGGCATCAGTCGCGGAGTGGCGGTACTTCTCCCTTGAGTGCCCCTGGACAGGCGAAATGCAGACACCCAGCACACTTCTCCTCCCCAAGCGGGGGCTGAGCTGCAGGAGGTAAGGGGCACCCACCCCTGCTCCCAGAAGACTGAATGGGTCCCTACCACCTTTGGAGGGCAACAGCACACGGACTGCACCAAGTCCTCCTCCCCTCCCGTCTTCCAGGCACAACATAGCCCACTGACCACCCTGAGAGGGCTTCCAAAAATGTGTTTACCCACCAGAAGAGCACCATTACTGAGATCTGAGTGGGGAGGCCGCACTTTTATCTGAGTGGAGGTGGTGTTTCCTTAGGTGGGGAGGAGCCGAGGTCTCTCAAGGGTGCTGTCCTGAAAGATTGGGAGGGAAAAAAAAAAAATGGCCTTTTCAGTACATGCTGCAGCCCAACACCTGCCTTTAAGTGTACAGCCAGTCTGAAAGTTCAAGAATGCAGGATTGTGCTAGACTGCATGTAACACATTAACAGTGCCCCTCCACCTTTTGATTTGAGGGAACTTCCCGTTAAAGATATACTCGTCAGCCATGGTAGGTGACGCAGGGTCAGTTAAATATAGCTGCTAGACTGCAAATATGTATTTTTAAACAAGCACCCAGTCTTAGCAGCTTTCTTAAGCCTGTTCAGAACAATGTTCACAGCCTAACTGGGCACCCCAAAACTGTTTAATCAGGAGTTCATAATGAATATAATAATAATTTATACACACATATATATATATATATATATATATATATATACACATACATACATATACATACATACACACATACATACACATTCATATATACACATATATATACACACATACACACATACACCCCCCCTCCCCTTTACTGGAAGCTTTAAAATTCAATAAAGACATGTTCGGAAGGTGAATGTACCAACTATGGCTAATGTTTTAATTTACATCTGGAATGCCTTTCATTTAATGTCTGAATTTTCCTTTATAGTTACTTATGCAGACTTCATTTTCCAGCTCAGAAACAGAATATTTTAAATTATTAGGTCTATAATAATTTAAAAGGATGAATTAGGCATTTCACATCTCTACAGGTAGGGCTGCTTAAAATCCCATCAGCAGGACATAGAATAGCATTCTATACAAGTGAAAAATAAGAGCTCATTGAAGAAAACATTTAAGGTTCAGCTAAAGTTGACTTCTCTTCCAGAACGCTGGACAGGGGACCTACAAGGATAAGGACATCTATAATCACCACATAGCCCTAAAACCATGCAGGATTTCTAGGCATTAAACTGGGCAGAACCATTTCAAACAAAATGGAGAAGGACAGTGTGTTCAGTCTATATCGCAATAGTTATAGTAGAAATTTTACACTGCTTGAGTGTTTTCTTTGTCTTCAGCATAACGTGGATAAGATTCACCAAGGAGTGGCTGTAGTACCTCATTCTTCTGGTTCTTGCGCCGAACAGCACATGTGGCACCAGCAAAGATTAAAGCCACAAGAACTAAGGCTGCTATTACTGCTATAGTAATAATCTCTGTATTGCTCAGTGGACGACCTAAAGAAACAGAATATTCAGGCATCATTTCTCCAAATTCCTGCCATTTGTTTTCATGTATTTACTGGAGCTGTAAACACTTTGGGGTTGGGATGGTTCTCCCCTCACCCACCCCCAAGGTATATCCTAAAGAATAAGACAAACATTTTACTCATCACCCAATATGATTTGCTGGAACCCAGGTGCCATCACTGTCAATTACAATGCAATGACAATGTCATTTTAACAGGTAGCAACAGTTATTTACCCAATGGGCACTGCCATTCCAATATCTACTACTTAACAGGTAAGGAGTTATGAAAACAGAGCAGGCATTTAAAGGGTTTATACAGATAAATTAAACCTAGCCTAGGAATGACAAACTATTGTTCTACAACTGATAAAATTGCACATATTAATTTTGTGCAAATGTTTGATCTGTTTTAAACCATCACTATAGCTTAAAGCGGAGCTCAACCCAAAAGGGGAAGTTCTGCTTTAAAGACTGGTCCCCTGCTCCCCATTAAGGATTGGCACTTTTGAGGAACGGGCACCCGAAATTAACAGGTACCCGCTCCCACCCTCTCCTAGGCGATCAGAAGCAGAAGTTGTCCTCCTAGCCTCCCTCCCTGTAGTCGTCTGGGACACGTGACAGGTCACAGAAGACTACGGGGCCAGTCAGGAAGCACAGCGCTACTCGCGCATGGGCAGTGGGCACCCGGCTGTGAAGCTGCAAACTGTCACAGCTGGGTGCCCACACTGAAGATGCTGGTGCCTGGAACACCAGACGGCTGGTGAAACGAGCTGCGGGGAGGACAGTGCGGGATCATGGGACAGGTGAGTGGCTGTTTTTTAAAAGTCAGCAGCTACAGTTTTTGTAGCTGCTGACTTATTTTTTTACAGTGTGAGTGGAACTCTGCTTTAAGTATGGACAAGCAACCCATTTTAATATACACTGCTCAAAGGAACACTTTTTCATTAGAATATAGCATCAAGTCAATTAAACTGCTAGGATATTAAACTGCTAGGATATTGATCTGGTCAGTTAAGTAGCAAAGGGGGTTGTTAACACCAAAGCTGCTGAAACTGATTAACAGCAGGTGCACTAGATGGGCAACAATGAGAGGACCCCCAAAAACAGGAATGTTTTACAGGTGGAGACCACTGACATTTTTTCCCTACTCATCTTTTCTGATGGTTTTTCACTAGTTTTGCATTTGGCTAGGGTCAGTGTCACTATTGGTATCATGAGGCGATACCTGGACCCTACAGAGGATGGCACATCAACATGTGCCATTGCCAAAAGGTTTGCTGTGTCTCCCAGCACAGTCTCAAGAGCATGGGGGAGATTCCAGGAGACAGACAGTTACTCTAGGAGAGCTGGACAGGGCTGTAGAAGGTCCTTAACCCATCAGGAGGACCGGTATCTGCTCCTTTGTGCAAGGAGGAACAGGATAAGCACTGACAGATCCCTACAAAATGATCTTCAGCAGGCCACTGGTGTAAATGTCTCTGACCAAACAATCAGAAACAGACTTCAGAAGGGTGGCCTGAAGGCCTGACATCCTCTAATGGGCCCTGTGCTCACTGCTCAGAAGCATAGAGCTCGACTGGCATTTGCCATTAGTATACAAATTCAAAGATAAACAACAACCACTACAGAGATGGAAGCAGCTGGCACAAAAAGAAAGCAACAAAATCTTAATATTAAAATAAGTAGCAAGACAGTGCAGCGCATTAAATGCTTTTATAATTATTAAACTACTACGCTATATACAAATCCTGCGTGTGATGAGTATCTCTTCTTAGGGTTCTAACTGGACTGGTAAAGTTACTGGAGAGCGGATGACATACCTCATGGTTAGGATATGCATGCTACTGACCAAGTAACTTTCTGTTGAGTGCATAGTGGTGAAGGACCTTGCACCGGATAAAGAGCACTTGGTGGGATTGAACACGGTTTGTCTTGATTGGACTATACTGTACAATATTCCATTGTTGGTTGAACTGTGACACTTTTGAATGTAATTTTATCTTTTTTATAAATTTATTGATTTGCTACACCTTTCACTTTGATGGATTTTTTTATGCGCTGCACTGTTTTGCTATTTATTGGCATTTGCCATTGAACACCAGAATTGGCAGGTCCACCACTGGTGGACTGTGCTATTCACAGATGAGAGCAGGTTCACACTGAGCACATGTGACAGACGTGAAAGTGTCTGGAGAAGCCATGGAGAATGTTGCAGGCACCCAAAGACAACACAGATTGAACACACACAGCCGCTTGTAAATGCTATAAGTTTCACGTAAACCAATTAATTTACACGTATTGGGATTTTTTTTTTTAGCAAAGACATGTAGCAGAACACATTTTGCCCTAAATTTATGATGAAATTTGATTTGTTTTATTGGACATGTTTAATAGCAAGGAAAAAGTCAAAAATATAGTTTTTTTCTCAAAATTGTCAGTCTTTTTGTTTACAGCCCAAAAAACCCCCCAAAAAACTCACAGGCGATTAAATACCACCAAAAGAAGGCTCTACTTGTGGGGAAAAAAGGACATACATTTCATTTTGGTGCAGTGTTACCTGACTGCGCAATTGTCAATTAAAGGAATACAGCGCCATATCAAAAAATGGCCTGGTCAGGAAAGGGGGGGGGGGGGGGGGGGGGGGGGTTAAATCCTCTGGAGGTCAAGTGGTTAATTTCATATGCAGGTTGAAACACAGTCATTAACAGAAACAAACAGCTCTCTGGGAGGCTTACAACTAGGTGAAGAACAGCCAAATTCTGTCCTGGGTCATACGCCATGGCAATAATGAGCACAGCAACAAGACAGAAGGTGTTATACTGCATCAGCAACGTCTTTCTCAGGCAAAGATGTCATAGCAGACTGGGGTTTCAAGATTTACTGTTCAAGCTCTTTTAAAAAAAAAGCACAAAGAAATGGGTAACATTGAAGACTATCGACACAGTAGGCGGCTAAGGAATCAATGCAGAAGATGAAAGACATCATGCTTACTTCCCTTTGACATCAGAAGATGTCCAGCAGTGCCATCAGCACAGAACTGGTGAAAACCAGTGAGACCCAGGTACACCCACCTACTGTCAGATGTCAGGCCAGAAGTGGTCATCATGGAAGAATTGCAACCAATAAGCCATATCTCTGACATGGAAGCAAGGCTAAGTGACTCAACAGTGGTTCTGTCCTATCCAGTCTCTGTGCCTGAGTATGGCTCAACTCTGAACAGCCCTTCTAGGCATTATAGCAACCTTGCAGTCTACATAATAAACTGCCACAGCACCCACAGAATCTGCATCTGGTGCTTCAGTGCCTCCCTAAATTTACTTATTATTTACTTATTACTCTCAGCTGGCCCTCTGCATATGGGCACCATAGAGAAGGCGACATGCCATAAGCTGGAACACTTCTTCATTAAAAGCATGTTTTGTGGGTAAAAAGATTTTGGCAAAAGGTATGTCAAGTATAGGGGTGTAGGCTTAGGTGTTATTTAACTATTCCCTTTCAGGTCCTTTCACTTAACACAATCTGACCACACCACTGGTGTCTTTCTTCTGACCATTTTGTGAGGTGGGGGGCCCTGGGTGCCTGAGCTTAAGCCTGGATTGAGTACATCCATCATCTCTTTCCTCTGAAGCCTTACTGTTCTTGGCCTGCTCATTTGGATTTTTTTTTTTTTTTTTTTTTTTTACGAATTTTCATTCAAAGAAAAGGCATGTTCCAACAGTCAACACTAAAGTGATAAAGATAATATCAGGAGTAAAAAGCATAACAGCCATGACTGTACAAAATAAAGACATTTTACAGGTATATAAAAAGGAGGAGTTCTCATGTTGTAGAGTATGAAAACACACACACACACATTTATCCTCCTCTGAGTACGTGAAAATATTCCATAGGGTCCAAGTTTTTGAGTAAACTCATTTCTGCTGCTAGGAAAGGATCCTCAGGTTAAATTCCTGTGCTTTAGTAAGCTAAAACCCAATAGACAGTGGCTGGGTACTCTTCCAGGCAAGAGGTATACGTGACTTAACGGCTTTGAGATGATGGAGAAGTGATATCTTGTAGATTTTAGAAGCATGAAGGAGGAAAAAGGCTGGGTCATCAGGGATTAGAAAGTCAGTAAATTGCTGTGCAATCCCCCAGACCTCTTTCCAGAAATCAGAGAGTTTAGGACATGACCCCCCCCAAAAATAATGAAGCAATGTGCCTCGTTCCTCCTGGCATCACCAGTATCAGTCAGCTGTAATTCCTCCGGGACAGGATCTTCTAGTTAGTATCTTGTATTCTAGAGCAGATGGAGGATTTGAAAGTAAATTTAAGGATGTTCGTCCGTTGCTTGGCCATGAACACTATACCCAGATCTGATTCCCATTTCTCAAGAAAGGGCAAGCAATGGTTATCTAGTGGAATATCAACAAGTGTACATTTTTGAGAAGAATGGGGAAGAGGCCCTTGGTGCGAGCAGTATTCCTCTAAAGGGGTCATCGTTCAGCCGAATCAGCTAAGAAGGGCCACAGTTAAAAACAAATTAAAATAAATAAATGGCGTAATTGCATTTCCCTCCAAAAATACAAGCAAAAAGGATCCCAATACTCAATCTGTATGGTGGGCCAGGCAGCTGCCATTAGGAAGTGAGGCCTGAAATCTACCTTCAGCAGGTAGTGAATGAAATGGTCCCTCCTGAAGGCCTGGAAGGAACTCCACTTTACCCAGAATTGGAAAAAGAAGAGAGTCCAACATAAACAGTAAGGACGTCTTGAAAAGCTGAACAAGCCCAAAGCCAGTGTCCCATTGCTGATACCAGTCCAATGGCAACACCCTTCTATCAGTCTTCTCAGGTGAGTTGCCAAGTAATACTTATGAACATCCATGTTATTTGAGGATAAATAGGCGTCTCCACGCAGCAGAGGAAGTTTACCCACCCAGCTAAATTTAATGAAAAAAAAGTGTATTTTCTTAAAGTATTGTGGGGGTATAGCAATAGGCAATGCCTGACATAGGTATAGAAATTTCGGGAGAATGCTCATTTTAATTATATTGCAGCTACCAAACCAGGAGTGAAGCCCATGGTGCTAAGACTCCAGGAGACTACGGACCGTGGCAATGAGTGGTGGGAAATTCAGATCGAAAGTGTGGGACAAATTGACTGGAATTTAAGTACCTAAGCATCTTAAAGCAACCTCAGTCCACTTCAACTTGAAATGATTTTGCAGGATTAAGATCGTTGTGGGGGGGGGGGACTGCTACTCCCATCACCTCAGATTTGCAGAAATATATCTAAAAGGTGAGATATAGCGCCATAAGAGTCAAACTCCTGACGTGTATCGGGGAGAGAGCGTCAGATTGGCCAAAGGAAAATAGCATGTCATAAGTGTAGGCTGAGACTTTAATCTGATTGTCCCCAATGGTAAGGCCAGTAGGTCTAGGTTTAAGTGCAAAAAAAGGTTCCAGAGTGAGTGCAAAGAGAAGGAGTGACAAGTTGTCTCATTGGTAATGGGAAAGGGCTCCAACAGCAACCCATTCACTTTAACCTGTGCGGTTTGGGAGGTATAGATACTGGAGATCCAGTGTAACACTTTCTCTCCCAAAACTATAAGGCGTAAGACAGCGAACAAAGTGCCAATTCACCCGGTCAAATGCTTTCTCAGAGTCTGTTCCCATAAATACGCACAGGATGCAAGTTTGAGAAGCCAGGTGTATCAAATTAAGGACTTTAATGGTATTGTCCCGTGCTTCTATGGTTGGGACAAAACTCACCTGATCCAGGTTGATCAGTAACAGTAGATGTAGTTGAAGTCTGGAGGCTATGATCTTAGTGAATAGTTTCAAGTCTATGTTTAGTAAAGAGGTCTGTCTATAACTGCCACAAGACATGGGATCTTAACCCTCCACTTTGGAATAATTGAAATATGTGCTTTTAAAGTTTCCGAGTGAAGGACTCTGGGGAACCAAATGCATTAAACATTTTGACTATGTAAGGGACTAAAGTGGATAACAGGAGTTTATAATACTTGGCCATAAACCTGTCCGGTCCCAGCGATTTGCCTTACTTGGCTGAACCAACAGCTGTCTGGGGTTCCACTAGGTATACAGGGGCTTCCAAGTCACTCTGTATTGGAGAGGGGAGTCTTGGCATATGAGGGGAAGCAGTATAATTCTCAATATGCTCCTGAGAGCCAAAAGAGGCTCAAATTCTATAGAGAGGAGTAGAATTCTTTGAAGGTGTGTGCAATATGCTTAGGAAGAGTGGCTTTCTCACCATCTGAGTGGGAGATCTGGGGGACACAAGTTTCCAAGCTCTGTTCTCAGAGCGACCTGGCCAATAAGTGACTGCACTTATTAATAGCTTCATAGAACATTTTTCAGCAAGTTTGTAAGACCGCCTTGGCCTTATATCTAAGAAAGTCAGATTTGTCTGCGCAAAGTTCCCTCTTTGTCAGAGGATGAAGCAGGTTTGTGGCGGGCTTCCAAGTGATGAATATCTTTAAGCAGCCTGTCTATTTTCACCTCCCTTTCGTGCTTAAGGCACGCACCATGTTTAATAAGGATTCCTCCAATTACTGGCTTTTGAGTTTCCCACATGGAACCAGGGTTGCAGTCAGGAGTATCATTCGTTTGATAATGATGACCTCTCTCTCTGGCCACTTCTGTCTGGATATCTGAGTCGTGAAGGAGCCCCTCATTAAGTCAACAGGTAGCCAATCTGGAGAGAAGGACATCAGAGAGGGCATAGTAAAGGAGGACAGGAGCATGGTTGGACCACGTGATCTGTCCAGTGGAGGACCCAGTTACTGCATGGAGTGGTCTACGAGGAACTAGTTCTGTAGAAATACAGTTTATGGGAGACGGAGTAGGAGTAATCTCGTTCGCCTGAGTGAAGAAGTTGCCATACATCCACCAGGGATTTAATTTATTTAACCAGAGGCTCATCATCAAATATGGGTGTCATCTAGGACACTCTACATATCACATCAAAAAGAGATGAACAGTTAGAGCCTGTTCACACAGCAACAGACACAGCTGCCATACTTTAAACCAGTGGTTTAATGTGTGGCAGCTGTCTGTTCTGGCTGCAGTGAGCCAGCAGTAGGATGCTGTGTTTTAGTGCAGCACGCAACTTTTTGTACAAAAACTTTATTTAAAGTGCACAAAGAAAAAAAAGTGACACTTCACCTATGTCACTGTACAGCAGCGCAATGCATAGACATGGTCATAGACTGTTCAGTGTGCTACAATATTATGCAGCATGTCTGCATTTTCTGACAGCTCACTGCACCTCCGGGACAAATAGGAAAAAAAAAAATGTTGTTTTCTGTGTGTCCTAGCAGTGACTTGTGTTCTTCCAGTGTGATAAAATCTAGGTCATTGCAGTATGTGTGAATAGAATTATTTTTAGGCTCTGCAACCTACAGTATAATTGATACTGAAAATTTCCATTTACCGCTGAGTCTTACTATTTTGAACTAGTGAACAAAAGTTAGACTCCTCTCTAAATTTTAAAGTAGAATAAATAGATTAAAGTGACCATTCGCAATTGACATTTCCCCATTTTGACCCCATTACAGGAATGTACGCTTTTTTTTGAGGGCCCACACACACACACCCACACAGCATGCCTTGTTCAACCCCTGGTACATAACTGTACAGCCACATCCTCCAGTTTATCCCAATGTATGCCATAGCAGAGGGTCCGGGGAGTGCATTACACAGTATGCTATTTGGCTCCTGTATGACCATGTGCATGAGGCTTATTGCAACACAGACCTAATGCATAGTCTAACCTATTACTTACTCGGCCATTGAATGTCATATGAATATCCCAAGTTGTCTGGCGCTGTTACAAACATTTCATCATTAGTTACTGGAGGCCAAAAGGGAACCATGTTGTATTGTCTGTTGTGCCCTATTGGTGCATTTTCCAGTGGATATTGAGACAGATCTAAAAAAAAAAGGCAAGAAAGTACCACATGTAAAAGTACTGTAGTGGTTAGGCAAAAAAAAAACACCCCACACAACACGTTTCTAGCAAATCAGTTAATTAGAAAAGTACTGCTAAAGCTCATTTGGCCGTACTTCTGTGTATCACACGAGTGCAGCTCGTTCTGCCCTTCTGCGACCCATTTTCAGCTGATGCCACAGAGCCGGCCTGGCTGGGGAAAGTACCCTGGACCAGCACCTGGCTCAGCCTCTCAGCTAGCTGCTGAGAGCCTGAGCCAGCTGCTCCCACCCCCTCCACAGCTCATCACTCCAGTAAGCGCTGGGGGTGGGCATAGCAGAGAGCCGGGCAGAATGGAAGGGAGAACTAAGCTATCAGCAGTGTTTGACTGCTAATTTCTCAACCTTAGAGCCAGCGGGAGACAGCTGCAGCATCAGATTGATGCTGCCTCCACCTAGATTAGTATTTTTTGGAAAGAAAATAAATACAAATATTACAATACTTCTTTTAATGACACCATTACGGCTACAGTCTTTATTGGAACTCTTGATTTAAATACAGATATGCAACACAGGTTAAGCATTAACTACCAAACAGCAGATTTATTTATTAGCTGTATTCTATACTTGAAGAGAATGATCTTTACTTATGGCATCATTCTTTTTTGCTAAAGTGATTATTAATGTAAAAAGGATGAAATTGTATTTTTTAAAATACAAACAGGTCATACTTACCTGCTCTGTGCAGTGCTATTGTACAGAGCAGACTGTGTTCTCCACTTCTCGGGTCCCCCACCAGTACTTCTGGCTCCTCTCCCCCAACCTGAGTGCCCCCAATAGCAACCGGCTTGCTATGGGGGCACTTATGCCTGCTCACTTCCAAGCCATTGACACTCAGAAGACAACTTGCACCCCTCCCCCCCCTTCTGGTTATGACTGACAACACTCACCACTGCTGTCTGAACAAACGAGGGAAAGAGCATCTGCTCTCATGCACAGCAATGGTTTGAGAGTGGGCTCAGGTAACTATAAGGTGGGCTGGGGGAAGCGTCATGCAGAAGGTTATATTACCTTAATGCATTAAAAGGTATAAAAAGAGATAAAAAAACAACTTTAGCCTTTAGAACCACTAGAATTAGAATAATTTCCATTTGCCAGAGAATTTGGTTGAATTTGATCTTCAATTTTCTGACAGAAAGAAAAAAAAAAATAAAGTCAAGAATTCTCTTGTTTCCAGATAGAGAGTTAGCATTTACATCTCATCACAAGTACTATAGCCATTGGATGTCTCTTGAAACACCTTCCCCTTTTGCCTTACCCGGATTATTCCTTGTCAGCCATTCATCAAACACTGCATCAGTAAAAGTATGGAGAAGTACAAAGATCGGGTCATTTGGAGATACGTGAGTCTGTCCTCCTGTGCCATTCAGGAACAAATGAGCTAGATTATGAAGACTTCTAACAGTAGGATTGTACAGACCAGAAGGTTCACTGTACCCTGTAAAACAAGCAGACCAGTAAACCATGATGTTAGAATCAATCTACAAGAACTTTGTGTTGGCAAATAAAAAAAAAAAAAAAAAAAAAAATTGTACCTTCAATTGTATTTCGAAAACTTTCAGAAGAGGTTGAGAAGAATGGTGGAGTATCATACAAATTTACTTCCAAACAGAGCAAAACATCTTCCGCTTCAGGAAGTCTTTGCACCATAGGTCGGTCAACGTTTCCTGCAGGATTTCGTCTTATTGGGCCACCAGTTGTACCTGCAAATTACCTTTGTTGAATATATGTACAAGGAAATTTGATGGGACTAAATACTGATATGTTATATACTGAAATGCAGTAACCATGTATTCTGATGCGGTCTTAGACCTAGAAACCTTTAACACACTTATGCAAAAGGAAATATAGAGAACTACCTTTACCAATAATGTTGTAACCCCTTCTTGTGCCTCTCCATCCCCATTACCAGCAGGTGTCAGATCTGTTGAGATTACTTAACCTGTGGAAAACTGTAGCGTTTTGAGCTACATCTATGTCTTCTGTGAGACTATAAAAGTTTACATTAATAAATAAAAACCACTTTGAGAGAGATGCTTGTCTATGACCACCGTAAGAGGCCTACAGAGAAGACCAGCCTGTCATTGACAAGATTGCTGCAATATTTTAACCTAGTGACCTTGTATGCATAGCCAAAAGAGGGAGAAATAAAAAATCCTGCAAAAGAAGTTCTCCAATATGTTGAGTGCTTCAAAGTGCTTGAAACTTTTTTCACTTGTACATTAACACATGCATTGCATGTGCACGACAAGCAGTACTTGAATTGGTATTCTCTTGTACATACTAAGCAGATTATGGGCAGCATTGCTCCAAATAGGCCATTCCTATAGAATACTATGTTGCCTGAGACAGGACATTGGGACTTACTGTTGCAGATAGTTCCAAGGTTCTCATAGTCTTCTACACTTTCACAGACAATTTGCCATCGAGAAAACACAGAATTTGGACTCAGCAGATTTTGATCAAAGTTGTTTCTTGCACCCATTAGGTCATCAGTGCAAATGTCACACTCATTTCCACCAATAGCAAAATTCCAAAAAGGAAGAGCGAAAGAAGGATCCTGTAGAAGGTTCTGAAGGGGGAAAAAAAAACAAAAACAAAAATTGTATTTATTATGAACTAGGCCTAGGAAGCATCTCTTCATACTTGTCATATTCTGATTTGGAAAGTTTAGCAACAAACAGAAAAACATAATTCCAAAACTACACCCCTAAACACTGCTAGCATTATGCTAATCCAACATTTCTGAGTATCATGTATTGGCTCATTCGTTTTTGGTAAGAAGCTAATGTTGTGTTAGTGCCACTAAGTTATACACGGTGTTGAATTAAAGATTCTAGAGGATTGCTATATGGATTCAAAGATCTATACAGTTTTATTATTAAAAGTAGGTAAAGGTTTTAGATCCTAGTTGTGTTATTTTATTATATCTTTGCATAGCCCCTTGACATGAGCAAATTGCCTGCAATGTTCTAAACATCGGTTTCTACATGCATGGTAAGATACATTACAAACATCACATTTTGATGGGCAATATTTAATTCTAACATAAATACACAAGAAACTAATCATTCTAGTGGCCTAAACCATTTTTGGTTAGAGTGGACTATAAAACCATCAATGCTATATGCTCATGGAGAGCTTATACTTTCATGTATTCAGAATCCACTGCAAAAATTTAGCAGTAAATTTTGTGCCACGTCTTTTAGTGCAATATTGGCAATCCAGGCTTTCCTTCAGTCTTGCACGTTTGTGAAATGTAATGCTCCACTTGTACTGCACACTGTGTGCAATAGAAGCTGCAGCAAGTCAGGCAGTGCCTGTTAGACATTCATCATCCAGCCCTTTACTATCCTTGTCTTGCCCTTTCACTCACCAATTTTCGTTCAATCATGGGGGCTTAGCATCACATAGTCTGCAAAGCCTTTAGAAGCTTTGCAGACTGGCATCCACTTATTTTGATATTTGACTCCCTTGAAGACAAAGCTCACTTGATACAGCCATGTGCAATTACTATGATACAATGTAAAAAGGTCAAGTTCAGTTGTGCAACAGAGATTAGTATACACAATGCACATATTGTGAAGAGACGGTTCATATAACCCAATTTGTTTTTGGATCAAACATGTTCTGGGTATTTTTTTATAAAAAGGGTCAAGAGACAGCAAAAAGATGGTTAAGCATAGAAAAGGGTGGGGTGGGATCTTTCAAGGACTGGATTGTGTGTGAAACACCTGACTGGCTGGTTCATGACATTTCTCATGTACACACCTTAAAAAGAAATGTATGTAAAAAGCAACAACAGTCATAGAATTTTTTAATGCAAAATGAATCAGTGTGCCAAAAAGCTAAAATTCCTTTAGATGCAGGTTTGATGGTCCAAGCCTTTTTTTTTTGCTCATTTCTTCTTAGGGACTCCAGAAGCAAAATCTATTTCTGTTCTCATAGAAATGGGGCATTTCCACTCCTTCTAATGCATTTCTCAAATGTTAAAATACAGAAAAGAGCCCATTATTGCCATTTCAGGTGATGAGGTACTTGAATACAAAATCACAGAAGCCTTCAAGACTTCAATAAGAAGGAATTGCTCCAGCACCTGCTGAAAGCTGGGTGGAAGCATTTGAAAATACTAAACAGAAGTATTAAATTGCCAAATTCATTCAAAACGGTTTTACATCCCCCTATAAATCTTTACTGAACATCAAATGTGTATTTTTGTGTCTTAGTATGGTGTAGGTGGAGTTAAAAGAAGGCAGGATCAACCAAGTTTTATTCGCTCTACACAAAATGAATGCTTTAGTGATTTTAGGAGTATGCACACTATAGCTTGTAATGAGAGTTTCATAGTCCGACTTTAATGACACTATAAATAGGGGACATTGGAATATTCTCTATGTAGCACTCCTCAGGTTTAGCTAGGGGGAGCTAGTTAGTTTTTTTCGGATAGAGGCTGTTTAGCAATCTGGGATGAGTCAGCCTGGGTGTTAGTCAGCCAGGTTATTCTAGGTCAGGGCTGAGGGCTCTGCAGGTCAGTTCCCAGATACCCCCCCCCCCCCGCTCTAGAAGCTGGAGAAATTTCTAGACGTCAGTGGGTGAGGGTGAGGAGGGGCTGATCTGCATTACTTAAGGGACCTTGGCCAATCCCCAAACAAGAGGCTTGGCATGGGCCAGGACAGCCCATAAATATGACTGAGCCTGATCAGCAGGGGGAGCAGTGTCAGGTGGAAGATGGAGTGAGGTGCCTGGAAGGAGGCCTACCTACAGGCAGGTGCTGCCTCATCGTCCCGAGAGAGGACAACCTGTGGAGCATCTTGTTTGTGCTGAAGACTGTGCTGGACTGACTGAATCAGTCACTGGTTGTAGGCAAATGGTTGCATGGGTGGGTATGGAGGTGTCCCTCCAGTACCCAATGGTGGATGTTGGCAGTAAACCCTCAGGCTTTGAGTTGCTGCCTTTCTGGTCCAGCCTTGGAGGTAGTTTCCACATGTATACTTGGAATAATAGAAAAGGAGCACCCGATGTCCAAAAGAATGTACTTTTGATGGTAGATTAGGAGGCATTTGAGAGTAACGACAAGTACATAAAGCTCCCTTCTTCAGGACTCTTAAACAAATACACACACAAACACACACAAAACACACACACCTCTCAAAAAAATTAAAGGAACACTTTGAAAACACATCAAATCTCAATTGGGAAAAATATCATGCTGGATATCTATACTGATATGGACTGGGTAATGTGTTAGGAACGTAAGGATGCCCCATCGTTTGATGGAAATAAAAACTATCAACCTACAGAGGACTGAATTCAAAGACACCCCGAAAATCAAAGTGAAAAAATGATTCAGCAGATTAGTCCATTTTGATGAAATTTCATTGAAGCAACTCAAATTAGTACTCAGTAGTTAGTATGGCCCCCATGTGCTTGTCTGCATGCCAGACAATGTTGGGGCATGCTGCTAATGAGACGACAGATGGTGTCCTGGAGTATTTTCTCCCAAATCTGGACCAGGGCATCACTGAGCTCCTGGACAGTCTAAGGTGCAACCTGGTGGCATTGGATGGACCGAAACACGATAACTCAGAGGTGTTCTATTGGATTTAGGTCAGCCGAGCATGGGGGCCATTCCATGGTATCAATTCCTTCATCCTCCAGGAACTGCCTGCATACTCTCGCCCCATGAGGCTGGGCATTGTCATGCACCAGGAGGAACCCAGGATCCACTGCACCAGCGTAGGAACCCACCACCAAAACGGTCATGCTGAATAATGTTACAGGCAGCATAAATGTTTACAGCTTCTCCAGACCCTTTCACGTTTGCCACATGAGCTCAGGGTGAATCTGCTCTCATTTGTGAAAAGCACAGGGCACCAGTGGCAGACCTGCCGATTCTGGCATTCAATGGCAAATGCCAATTGAGCTCTATGGTGTCGGGCAGTGAGCACAGGGCTCATTAGAGGATGTTGGGCCCTCAGACTACCCTCATGAAGTCAGTTTCTGATTGTTTGGTCAGAGACATTCACACCAGTGGCTTGCTGGAGGTCATTTTGTAGGGCTCTGGCAGTGTTTATCCTGTTCCTCCTTGCACAAAGGAGCAGATAATTGGTCCTACTGATGGGTTAAGGACCTTCTACGGCCCTGCGCAACTCTCCTAGAATAACTGCCTCTCTCCTGGAATCTCCTTCATGCTCTTGAGACTGTGCTGTGAGACACAGCAAGCCTTCTGGCAATGGCATGTATTGATGTGCCATCCTGGAGGAGCTGGACTTCCTATGCAACCTCTGTAGGGCCCAGTACCAGTAGTGGAACTGACCCTAGCCAAATGCAAAACTAGTGAAAAACAGTCAGAAAAGAGGAGTAGAGAATAAATGTCAGTGGCCTCCACCTGTAAAATCCTTCCTGTTTTGGGGGTCGTCTGAATATTGCGAATCTAGTATACCTGCTAATTTTATTAACACCAAAGCAGCTGAAACTGATTATCAACCCCCTCTGCTACTCAACGGACCAGATCAATGTCCCAGGAGTTTAATTGACTTGATGCTATACTCTGATTAAAAAAAAAGTGTTCCTTTAATCTTTTTGAGCAGTGTGTATGTATGTATATATAAATAAATAGAGAGAACATTATGTCCATTATGTAGAGGCAAAAATACCATGGTAAAATAATGTCTTGAAGTTACAAAAAGTCTCTCTTTCCTGATCAATATCAGAATAGAAATAATCAAAATAGCTCAAGGATTACAATTACTACTGATTTTATTTCTGAGAGGAAATCTGCAGATAAACCCGGTAAAAAAATAAAAATATTTTGAATAGTAATACTAACGATAATAGTGATCATCGAGCCTAAAGGACTCTGCTATGGAAAGGTGTGTGGATTGCGGTAATAGGCCAGGTCTTAAGGAATATAAATCAGTGTGTAGATATTATTGTGACATAGATGTTAGAAAATATAAAGCCGTGCATGTATGTTAAGCAAAAAATAGTTGTGAACTAACCTGTTGCTGCACGATAGAGAAAATATATTTTTTATTATAAATACTGTTTTTTTCATTTGTTTCTCTTTATATTTTTTGTATTTGTTTAATAGCACTGAAGAAGGGAGAGTCTTTTTCCTGAAATGCGTTGGCTTGATGTACTTGTTACTCTCAATAAATGCCTCCTAATCTACCATCAAAATTGCTTTTCTAAAGTGGCAGCTTCTGGGTTCCTTTGCCCAGGAATACCCTCAGGCAGCTGGGGTGAAGAGGAGGATTCATCTGGGGTATGATGAGGTACAGCAGAAGAACTGGAGAGCTCTTCAAGGAGATTATTTTGTCTGCATTTTTGTACATAGTTGCTAAGGAGTTTGTTCTCAAGTTCACAGTTCCCTTGGGTATCTCGCACATCCCTCAGCCCCATCCAAGTTCTAAACCCCTAATAAAGCAACAAAATCAAGCTCAAGGACCATTTACTGACTCTGAGCACAAAGTGTGGAAGAAAATGCATGTTGCCTGGCTGTGCAGAACTTTAGGGGGACCCAAAAGTCAGCGGCTTTTAAGGGGGTAGTGCTACATGCATGATGATATTTGCTGTAGTTCAACTTCTAATGTAGTTTTCACCTACTTTCCAAGAAAGATTGTAAATTTCTCTTTTCTCTAGGGAAAAAAAAAAAGAGACAGACACACAGTTGAAAAGTTATACCTGTATATCCCTCTCCAGTTGTATCAAGTGTAACCTGTGCCAAGTTAAGAATGCTGGACCTTCGTGAGAAAAGTCTATCCCACCAGCACTTCCTTGACCTGGCCCAAGAAAGGTTTTGCTAACACTGTAGAAGTGTGTCCAGACAAAGAAGTCATAAATTGAAATGTTTTCAAAATTTGTAGTATTTCTTTCTTCATCAATGAGCTCATTGTGGTGCCTTGTAGCAATGACATAGTCCGGATGCACAGTATTTTTTGCAAGGTCAAGTGCACTAATAAAGCGTTGGCGTTCCTCGGGATGCAGGTCCAAAATGTTTTTTCTTACTAGAATACAAAGTGGAAAGATTAGCATTGAAATTATCTATAGAAAACATAAAAACACTACTTACTACTAGATTTTGAAGAAACCATAGTTTTTACTGACCATCGATGGGCAGATGCAATGGCATTCCTCTAGGAAGAAGGGCTCCTGCCACCATTTATTTGTCTTTGACACAGAAGAGGCTCTCTTATAGGTGAAATAGTTGTCAAGTTATTAGTGTATTAAACCATAGTACAAATAAATGGCCAGTGTCTCACACCCCAATTGAGAGGAATTAGTAGCTAGGAGATGTCCGCTTTCTCTTACAGCAGTTTAGAGCTTTCAGTTTCCACATGGCTGTCTATTAAAAACCCTGATCTCACCCTCTTTTTCAGCTCTTGGAGCTCTCCATCAGCTGCTGTCAGACAAACGAGACTCAGAGAGGAGTCTTTATTTGGCTTAAGTTTTGCTGTTATGATGAATCTCTTCAAAGCAGTGACCCTGGGAGCCAAGAGATGAGTGTCACCCAATAGTGTCCAACTGGCAAACACACTTCTAACCTAAATTCTGGTATGCCCACCATTCAGGAACAGTGACCTTAAACTGCTCTTTACTAGTGGGCACCCTTACTATGGAAGAAATAATAAATACCGTTAAAAGCAGGCTTATCCAACCCATGGCTCAAGACTGCCATGAATGCGGCCCCAACACAAACGTTATCTAAAAATGTTGATCTTTTTTGGAATTTTTTGTACAAATGTGTTTTACACTGCATGAACACATGTGGACAAAGAAAAATTTGACAGTCTTTTACTGGATATACAAGTTTTATCCTCTCAAAAAAAATCCCCACTTTTCACAATCACACCTTATTGATGTCATCAGATTTCGACAGCACCTATGTTTGTGAGCAGATTTTCAAAAATTAAGCACATGAAGGTAAACATTAGAACCAAAAATATTTGATGATTACCTTAAGCATTCATGGTAATTGCTATTACATTCATACACTAGTTTTATATTGCCCTCCTACTTTTATAACAAAAAAAAAAAAAGTGTTTTTGTAATGACATTTTATTTAGATACATCTATCTACATCAGTGATGGTTAACATGTGATCTGCCTGACTTTCTGCTCATCTATCCTTAATGCATTCTATGTGTGGTCCAAGACAACAATTCCTCTTCTTCCATTGTGACCCAAGAAAGTCAAAAGGTTGGACACCCATGGTTTTAAAAAGGTCCGTGGGATGACAACACTAATGGAGAAATCACAAATAGAGCAAGAAATCAGGAGAGAAAGCATATAGTGAAGTGATCAGTGAATTCTAAACTCTATTAATTAGAAAGCCACAATTTGTGTGGCCTTGGAAACTTAACATTTTCATAACTAAAAATACCAGCATGGTTTCCAGTGATGAGCTACTTCAATCCAGCAATGCTTGAAAGAAATCTGTGCTGTTAAAATATCTAGCTTTCCATTCTGATTGATTTCAATAGCTGCTAACATGGAACAAGTATGCAAAGCAATTCTTAAACTTTACTTGCCACATACTTGTTCTGGGATAGTGACAACTACTGAAACCAGAGAAAACCAGATAGCCAGCATTTTTAGATGCAGCTCAATAATGAGTGCATAGATCTTTAAGAGTATTAAAAATGATAAAAAAAAAACAAAATAAAAACTATTTGCTCTTTATTTATTGTTTAATAGCAGCACCACGTGAAAGAAGCAGACTTCAAGCCCAGGCAAAACACATTTTTTCCACAATACTTCCCTTCCACTTCCTCCTACCCAGCCTGATAGTCTCCTCCCCCATTTCCATACTTAGTGAAGGCAGATATACTCACCTAAGTTCCCCATCCCCACTGCTACTGGTTCTGCACTGCAATGTTGGCTCCAGATAAGTTATGCATGTTAAAAAGGAAATGTAGCTTGCTTTTCTAACAGGATTGGAGGGGGTACATTTCTATCCCAGAGAGCGGCTTTAATAGCTTAAACTCCGTATCCCCAGCAGCATACCACCCCTCCCCTTTGTTGGGTTTTTTTTTTGTATACTTTTTTCAGGTGTCTTCCAAAACATCTTTCCTCCTCTGTCTTTTGACAGAAAGCAGCACTAACACAATGCTATCAGCGCTGTTCTCAGCATCTTTACATTGTGCATACAGGGTGTTGTGTTGATGACCCTTCATTGGGCAGGCCCATGACCACTGTAATCACTCACAGGATGTCCTCAGTCTCAATCTCTAGAATCCAGATATTCCAGTAAGAGTGGTTTTATATGGTTTCAAACTGGCGAAAGGAACAAATGAAATTGGAAGAAATTGTCTCATGTGTACCTGCATGCCTTTGGTATGTTGGCATATGGGAAATTATTATTATACAGATATTCTGAAATAGCCTGGACAAATGTATTGGTACCCCTAGAAATGATTATAAATAATTGGATCTTGGTGAGATTATCAAATACATGTCTGACTGCATCAAAATTCCCTTTCTAAATTATAATGGGCCTACAGAAAGAAGGCCCAGGAGGACTCCACAGAAAAAAACAAAACAAAACTGAAATTTTCTAAAATGCATATTGACAAGTCACAACACTTCTTTGTGAATACCCTTTGGATAGAAGAGACAACAACGGGAGATTTTCTGGCAGGTCACAATAACCCTCTACTCAGAGGGAAAAAAAAAAAAAATTAGAAAAGAGAACAGTATTTACTGTGAAACAAGAAGGCTCAGTTATGTTTTTTTTTAGGATTATTATTACTTCTCTTTGTGCACAGTATTCTCTGAAACTGACATTGACTACATACACATCCATCTATATCTAAGAGCAATAGTTGGTTCATCAGGATGATAAAAGGTGTACAGATTTAAAAAAAGATCAAAGCCTCCAAGTCTGAGCAGTGGGAGATAAATGAAACCAAGGACCCAAAATTGCAGTCAAACAGTTGCGGGTGGACCATTTTCTTAAGCACATTTTTACAAAGTTAAAGATTTGCTCGGTCTTTTTCCTGGCTAGGAAAGATTTTTCAGGTCAAGAGGAGAGTTTTTTTGGCACAAAACAGGTAGGAGGATTCATAGCAGGGTGGGGGTGGGGGTGGGGGGGGGGTGGGGGGTAGTTCATCTAACCAGCTGGAGTTAATTCCCCACAAACTGATCTAATTAGAATTACAAAAAGGGATAGCTCAATGGTTGGATATTTCCCTAGACAGATGCTTTTTACCCACTACATGTGTATCAAGTATCCCAATAGCCCCAAGAAATTCAGTTGCTTCCTCCACCCCAGCCAGTCCATATAGTGGTCTGGAGCAGCATTAACCCTTTACTGATGGCCCTTCAAGGGTGTGCTATGCAGGCTTCCATTTATGCAATTACAGATTGGATCCAAGTGGCCACATGTTGAGGGAGCCTTCCCTACCAGCTCCCGATCATAAACAGTTACCAGAAGTGGTCAAAGACAGTCTGGCCACAGGGCTGGGAACTTGCAAGTTAGCATTCTCCTAGCAAGGAACAGTGGGCCTGTTGTACGCATACAGTTGTGCTCATAAGTTTACATACCCTGGCAGAATTTATGATTTCTTGGCCATTTTTTCAGAGACTATGAATGATAACACAATAGCTTTTCTTTCACTCATGATTAGTGTTTGGCTGAAGCCATTTATTATCAACGGTGTTTACTCTTTTTAAATCATGATGACAACAGAAACTACCCAAATGACCCTGATCAAAAGTTTACATACTCTGGTGATTTTGATCTGATAACATGCACACAAGTTGACACATATGAGTTTGAATGGCTAAGGTCAATGAGTTTCTGGACTCCTGACAGACCCTTGCATCTTTCATCTAGTGCTGCACTGACGTTTCTGGATACTGAGTCATGGGGAAAGCAAAAGAATTGTCAAAGGATCTGCGGGGTAAAGGTAGTTGAACTGTATAAAACAGGAAAAGGGATATACAAAGATATCCAAGGAATTGAGAATGCTAATCAGCAGTGTTCAAACTTTAATTAAGAAGTGGAAAATGAGGGGTTCTGTTGAAACCAAACCATGGTCAGGTAGACCAACTAAAATTTCAGCCACAACTGCCAAGAAAATTGTTCGGGATGCAAAGAAAAACCCACAAATAACTTCAGGAGAAATACAGGACTCTCTGAAAACATGTGGTGTGGCTGTTTCAAGATGCACAATAAGGGGGCACTTGAAGAAAGATGGGCTGAGTGGTCGAGTCGCCAGAAGAAAGCCATTACACAAATGCCACAAAGTATCCCACTTACAATACGCCAAACAGCACAGAGACAAGCCTCAAACCTTCTGGCACAGTCATTTGGAGCGATAAAACCAAAATTGAACTTTTTGGCCACAACTATAAACACTACATTTGGAGAGGAGGCAACAAGGCCTATGATGAAAGGTACACCATTCCTACTGTGAAACACTGAGGTGGATCGCTGATGTTATGGGGATGTGTGAGCTACAAAGGCACAGGAAATTTGGTCAAAATGAATGGCAAGATGAATGCAATATGTTATCAAAAAATATTGGAGGAAAATTTGCATTCATCAGCCTGGAAGCTGCGCATGGGACGTTCTTGGACATTCCAACACGACAATGATCCAAAACACAAGGCCAAGTTGACCTGTCATTGGCTACAGCAGAACAAAGTGAAGGTTCTGGAGTGGCCACGTCAGTCTCCTGACCTCAATATCATTGATCCGCTCTGGGGAGATCTCAAACATGCAGTTCATGCAAGACAGCCCCAGAATTTACAGGAACTGGAGGCTTTTTGCCAAGAAGAATGGGCAGCTTTACCATCTGAGAAGATAAAGAGCCTCATCCAAAAATACCACAAAAGACTTCAAGCTGTCATTGATGTTAAAGGGGGCAATACACGGTATTAAGAACTGGGGTATGCAAACTTTTGATCAGGGTCATTTGGGTAGTTTCTGTTGTCATTATGATTTAAAAAGAGTAAAACACAGTTGATTGATAATAAATGGCTTCAGCCAAACACTAACCATGAGTGAAAGAAAAGCTTTTGTGTTATCATTCATCGTCGCTGAAAAATGGCCAAGAAATCAAAAATTCTGCCAGGGTATGGAAACTTATGAGCACAACTGTACATGTGAACACTCAGTGTTCAAGCCCACTGCTGTGCTGTCATGGGTGTATGGCCAGCAATAACAGTTTCAAGTTTCCAAGTACTATCAGAGGGGCTGTAGATGTGGTATTAGTGCTAAGACTGATTTCAATTCATCAAAAAATTCAGAAATCAGTGTGAGGAAGACTGAATTGAAAGTTCAAATCTGTAGTATAAGGATATGACACATTGAATCAGTTTTAAGGCCTAGAGTCTCAGATTTTAGTGAGAACATAGATTCCTCTCAAATACATCTTCAGGCACCCACTGTTTTTCGAGGGCCAGAATATTATACCACCCACATTTTTAAAATTGTTAACCATGAGCACAGAAGAATGTGATCATGCATCTGCTTCAATATACAGAATATACAAACACCAGACATGCTGTATGCTCACCACATTGCCTGCATAAAACATTTTTTGTTCACTATGCCCCTTTGGAGGATAAAGAAATGTATATACAGTAGTGCCATTAATTACTTTTTCTGGCTGACTTTCAAATTGGCATTTAAAAGTGAACCTGTCCTGATAGAAATAAGGAGGGTACAATTACAGCCTTATCTGCCATCTTCAATGCATGCAAACAATTTTGTTCAATTTGTTCTGTATCAGCGACTCAATCATATAGGATCAAATAAGTAATAATAAAGTTCAGTGCTAAATAAATCAGTGAAAGTAAAGTCCCAATATAATTCAATACACAATCGGTGTTGTAAATAGTGTAATATTGCCAGGAATTGAATATCACGCTGTGATTTTTAACCGCCGGAGCCATAAACTGGTCCGGCGGCTACTCATATTACTGGTCAGTGTACCTTTTTATTACTTTTTATTGTGAAACTTGCTGCATTAATAAATTCAATTTCCTGGCAATATTACGCTATGAGCACTTTTCTTATGACTCCTATACGTAGCCTTTAAGTATGCAGAACCGGGGAAGATCTTCAATATCCAGAGAGGTGGAATTTCTGTAATCAGGTGGCTGACCCTACTGATCCCTAAGGAGACCTCTGGAGCAGACATCACCCACTTACTGTGGAGCTGCCCAATTGGAGACGGATGTCCCAGGTGCATACCTCACTACTCTGATTTATCAATGCGCATAATCTATGGGCTTCTGGTAAAACACATAATTTTATCATTTGCATGGAGCACCATGTAAAAATGATACGCTTACTGGCACTATTCACAACACCGGATGTGTATTGGGACTTTACTTTCACTGATTTATTTAGCGCTGCACTTTATTATTACTTATTTTATACTGAAGGTTTTATGTGGTTACCTGAGTGTATCAGCTGCTATCAGAGAGCGCTCACTATTGCTACATTGTACTTTAATCATATAGGACACTAGTGTTGCTTGTCTTCTGGAACTCTTTTTACTCTGCATTCAAATGCAGTCTCTACAGTTCATTCTCACCTTTTTGCCGATCCTACATGACTGATTCATTGGTTCAGCGCATGGAGACTGCAGGCAAGATTTATACTCCTTCTGGAATATGTTATGAGGGTTGTAGCACCTATCCTTTGCATGTGTGACTTGTTCTGTATCAGCCTTCTATATTTCCATCATTACTTACAGCCTTTAAGTAAAAGCTGAACTGTGGTGGATCTCAAATAGTAAGTTCTCAGATTTATTTAAAAGGGTAAGGCTGAGTTCACACTGCTACGACTTGGGACTTCCCATGTCATGCGACTTAGGGTCGTAAGTCTGATCCCATGTTAGTCAATGAGAGCCATCCTTATTTGCACTAATGAAGTTGCTCTGACTTTAGTAAAAGGTTCCTGTACTACTTCAAGGCGACTTCTGACTTGTGCCCATAGACTTTAATGGAAGTCTCCTCCAAGTTGGATCCTCATCTATATTGATGCAATTTGGATCCGACATTACAGGAAGAATACCCAGGCATTCCCTGAAAGTTGCTGTAAAGGCACATCAAGTTGCATCAAAGTAGTACTCAAGTTGCCAGGGAGTCACCTGGCAAAGTCGCACTATAAATGGTGTGACTTTCAGGTTGCAGTAGTGTGAACCGAGAAACTATTACCCCATGATACACAAATGGGGATTTTCAAGGTGGCAGTATTTTATATATGAAACATTAAAATTACATGACTTATTTACAAAATAAAGCCTTAAAATACACTTTTTATGTAAAAGACATAAATGGGGTTTATTTACTAAAGCTGGAGAGTCCAAAATCAGACTCACTTCTGCATAGAAACCAATCAGCTTCCAGGTTTCATTGCCAAAGCTTCATTGAACAAGCTGAGGTTAGAAGCTGATTGGTTTCTATGCAGAAGGGAGTCTGATTTTGGACTCTCCAGCTTTAGTAAATAAACCCCAAAATGTCAAAAACGGTATACGATATTCCTTTGCATGTGTTCAGTCTCATTTTATTAGTGCTTTACAGCCAAAACAGACTTTTCCTGCTAAAATACATAGGAGGGTTCAATGGGAGAATGGCAATAATAAAAACACATTTCAGAGAGTTCATGTAGGAGAAGCGAATGAAATATTAGATTGCATTGCATTGAGTAACAATAGTACGAGTTATGTGAATGGCAAACGAGGCAGGCAAGTAGCACAATTCCTCACATGCACAGCCACCCTGCAGCACTGGAAGAGCAGCTCTGGGCAGTATCCAGTGGCATGGGAGAAGCAGAAGAAAAAAAAAAAATAAAAAAAAGAAAAAGCAAGCTAGTACCATTTTTTTTCTCCAGAGTCAGAAGAAATTAAAACTGCTGAACCCTCACACGCCAGCTATGGAAAGATGAATGCGAGATAAAAGAAAACAAAAAAACAAAAAACATACAAGTGGACCCAGATATTAAGTTACTGAAAGCAGTTTTATGACTTGTTTGCACACTCAAGTAAGAGAAAGGAAAAATCAGGTCTTTATGAATCCCCTGCCTGTACAATCTGATCTTTTTTTAACGTACACAAGCTAATGCCTGGTACACACAGGTAGTTTTTTGGCTCAACCCAGCAGCTGAAACAAACAAAAAAAAACCTGAGCAGCTCGCTGTACTAACATTGCATAGTTTCTGTACTTTGAGCTATTGTGTTCTGACAGGGGTACTGCCCCCACCGCCAGAACACACCCGTCAGTGCTCACAGCCATTGGCTGTGAGTGCTGATCACATGCCGGACAGCTGCTAGTTTTCCAGCATGCCTGTTCCACAGAAGCTGGACGGGTGGGCTGGCTTCTGCCGAAAAAGCTGCTGTACACACCGAATGTCATTGAACCCATCGATATTCAGCCCGTGTGTATCAGCCTTAATGATACCCATCATTGTCATTTATAAGCATTTGAAAAACTGGTCTGGGATGACATTTAATAAGTTGTTGGCATAAAACTAACCATTTTATGGCTACAAATATGCATTGGAGAACCTTTATGAATGTGTGGTTAAATACCAATGGAAAAAAAAAAAAAGCCTTTATGCCATAATAATCAGGAAACATTAGCAAATGCCATTTCTTTCAATCATAAAAATGGAGATTCATCTCACTGTAATATGAAGCATTCTGTGTTAACGGTTTTTTGATTTATATGGTTCCCCTTAGAAGTATTTAAAACTGTCAAACTAGTTTTTGTTCACTTACCAATCACAAGTGGTTCATCACAGTTGTCACCAATCCATCCTGGTCTGCAGCTTCCACAGTTGTACCCATAGAAACGTCCATTACACAAACAAGTCCTGTTAAAGAAGCGGAGAGGCCAACGTTCACGGTCGTCCAGACCATCAAGTGTGTACTGGGGTCCATGAGGTCTGGAGTCTGCTGTAATTAGCACACATAGACCACGACCAACAGAAAAGCCACATTGATCATCAGGATTTGGAGACTGATGGGGAAAGAGACCTGGACAGCACTCTCCGCTTTCTAAGGCTTCTGGAGTCGCACATTGACGAGGAAACTGGGCAGAAATCAGGTCAGAAAAAAGGGCAACCACAAATGCCACTGCATAGGTACGCCAAGACTTGTAGCACAACATCATTGTTGTGTGGACGGTCACAGCTGTAGAAGAACAAATACAGATGAGAGAACTGGTGTGGACAGAGGAGAGAACTGGTGTGGTCAGAGTTAGAACATTTAACTAGACTATATAAAACCTCTGAAATGAAGCCTAATAAAGCTTAGCAGTTACAGTTTACCAGCTTTGATGATGGGCCCCTCCTTTTTAACTCAAGAGTATCTAATAGGCATATTAACCGATGTTCACCATATTAACTATTATAAAAAGCACTTGCTCAAACATAAGAGGCACTTTTCACGCCAGGCTTAACTAATCTGATTGCTGCAATTGTACAATCGAGTCACAGTTAAACAAACCCTATGATATGCATGTAATGAAGCAGCAAAATATTGTGGACATTAAAGAACGTTTGCAATCTTACCTTCACAGAAATCAAAAGGACTAATGATTCAGTGGTTCTCTAACATAGCATTTCAACTAAAGTTTCATGGATGAAAGCCATTACACACCCAGGCAGTTTTCTCCACATGCCAATTACTTCTGAAGCTTGTACAATAAAGCATCTGGTTTATAATCCCTGACAGTGACAAGTTAAACAACTTTTACTCCGTTTAATATCCATGCTCAGCATCCACTTGCCTACCCTAGGCTAAAAGCCTTCATATGTTGAAAGAAAAAAACCCCACACAAACTTTTTTTTTTTAAATAGAACTGTGTGGGGTATATATATATATATTTATATATCAAAATAAAAAGCCACACACGGCAGTTTTAATCTTGAAATATTAAATGGCAATTCTGATTAGTCGTTAAAGACATTAGCTTCATAAGTGCTCTAACTTTTGTAAGTCGTCCCCATTTTTTTTTGCCCAAAAAAAAAAAAAAAAAAAAAAAAGTACCTACAGATCAGAAAAGTACACATAATTTAGCAGTTTCACATTTCAGAAGGATCACAGATACAAACAGAATTGATAAACTGCAGTTAAATAATTTGGCTATAGTGACATTACACATTTCTAATACCACTCTTCTTATTAAATTCCAGATTTTATTTTTTTTTTTATTAGCCCCCTCCATTTTAAACATCACATACCTGTAAGTAAAGATTGCGTCTGCACTTAAATGTTGGACGTTAAAAAGATGCCCTTTAGTTTGTGTTCAGGTCCACTGCCTGATAATCCCTTTGATAGAGTCAGGAGAGTTTCACTACCCAGTCTAATCCTTTTATATCAGTTTACCCAGCACATGATCTCTTTCATTTTGATCGCCTTGTGACCAGAAGGATTGAGCATGGGTCAAAGAAAAGAATTTTGACAAACCTGGACATAAAACATTCCTTAAACCAAAAGATGTGTATAAGGGATTTTTTTTCCCCTTTAGCATCTATTTTATCAACCCCCCTTCCCCCACAAGCATAGCTAATAAAGAGAGCAATTGTCCATCAAGTCAGAGCAACATCACATGCCTATTACAGGGAAAAGCTGATTACAGAACTACCAATTTAAAGGAAAAACCCACTTCTTCAAAGTTCCTGCTTTAATATCAAGCCAAAAACACCTAGACAGATTTCCAGCTTACATGCAACATTATTTGCTGAAGCACCTATGTATCGTATCCAGCGATTAAACAGACCACTTGCTCATTAATTAACCCATGACTTATTGAAAGTATACCTGCCCTAAAAGGAATATAAGTGCTTCCATTGGTGACTTTTGGAATATGCCATTTAAATGGCTGTGGCTTGCTTCAATATTTCTGAGCTGCTGACCTGGAACAAGCCTGCTACAAATGAAGGCCTGTGAAAGTCAAAATTCTTTCTTTGTTGCTTGTTTCAGGTTAAAGGCCCTTTCACACCAAGGCACTTTTAATGTGCTTTTGTGCTGCCTAAAAGTGGGAATACACAATTAGAAAATCGACCGATCGGTCATCCGACGACCGAGAGGCATTTGTTTCATTGGTCAAAATCATGGCCCACATTAACCAATCTAAAAAAAAAATCATTTGTCAGGCAATATGTAGTGTTGACGTCTTCCATTCAAGTGGAAGTGATGCAGTGTGTGTGACCTTGTAGCCACCCCCTTCCGGCCAGAACGAGCGATATACACAACAATTAACAGCAATGAGTATAATATAGCTTATTACATTACCTATATACATAAATAGTGATACATAAAATATAATATGAATCATTCTGGTTTCATTATCTCATTAGGCCAATCTACTTTTAACATTTGGATTTTTTTTGTTCGTGTTTACAAAGATTCCTTGGACATAAACATCTGGGTCATCTTCCGTTTCCGCTCATGCGTGATAGCGCTTGATAGATTTTTTTCGTACGACCATTGTACCACCGCATAGAAAATCAGTCGCTCGTATGCGAAACGGCAACATTTTTCACTGTTGTTCAACCGGATTTTTTCGTTTACAATATCGTTATCGGTTAAAACATCCTGCTCATCAACTAAGAGAAAATAGTTCGATCAGTGGTTCTGTGAAATTTTTGTAAGATTTTCTTATTGTGTGTACGGGGCATAAGGATCCTTTCACACTGATGCACTTTTGATACATCCCCATTAGCTTACAATGGAAGGTGCCTTTTTGGTGCACTTACTACACCGAAGATGCAGCATGTAGGACTTTTCAAGATGCAGCACGCCTGCAGTGTGGACAGTTAAGCTAGGTTCACGTTTATGCAGAAGTCAGTGCACCTCCTGGTTTGCAGAAATGCACTACAATTCATTTAACATGATTTCCTATGGATCTATTTAACATCTGTGCGCTTTGAGCAGGTACAGATTTTTGAAAGGGCCAGGGACTTTTTTTCATGCAGCAGATTGCGTTTTGCGCGCAATAGACTTCAATGGAACCGCACCAAAAATGCAAATGTTACATATTTTATGCTTTTTTTTTGCATTTTGCTTTTTCTGCTTTGTGCGAAGATGCCTTTTTAGTGCACTTACTATACCATCGATGCAGAATGTAGGACTTTTCAAGATGCAACGCACCTGCACTATGGACAGTTAGATTAGGTTCACACTTATGGACTAAGGCTACTTTCACACTAGCGTTGTGTGCAGGCGGCAGAGAGGCATTTGGGAAGCGTTTTTACCACTTCCCAAACGCCTCTGCCAATTCTGCACATTACAGCACATGGTGCTGTTCTAACAGGAGCGATTGCGTTGCGTCACGTTGCGTCGCTGCAAAACGGACGCCTCTGGTCGAAGCCTCCTATTCTAGTCTATGGTGCCGCTCCGCAAACGCCTTCTTATCGAGTCCCCTGCCAGCGCTCCTGGCTCCTACCCCCTGCTTAGTGCCCTCAGATCAAGAAGGGCACTGAGCAGGTGGTAGGACCCAGGAGCGCTGGCAGGGGACTCGATAAGAGGAGGATTGGAGCTGCTCTGTGCTAAACTATTCCAAAGAGCAAGTGAGTATAACATGTTTGCTATTTTGTTTTTAAATCCAAACCTTTAACCTCCCTAGCGGTATTCCCGAGTGTAGCTCGGGCTTACCATGCGGCGTTGCTCTGGGAGTCCCTGCAGCACTTACCTTGTCCTTTGCTCCCGTGATGTGTCCCCTGCAGCATCCCCGGTCATCTCCTCTGGCCGATGCCGGCATCCGGCTTCTGTGTTCCGGTTCCCGTGACGTCGGGACGTACGGGCGCCGCCGGCGGCGGCGGGAAATTTAAAAAATTTCAAAAATGTCATTTCTTTTTTTTAACATTTTAAATAGTAAAACATTGCTGTTTCATTCCATTTCACATACATATTGTCCCTAGTGCTTTGTCCTGTGCCCTGCCTGCATTTTGTCTGTTCTTTCTGCCTGGAAACTGAGAAACGTCCATGGTGTCCAAAAAGCGTCCCTTTACGTCAAAAGCGGTTTTAGACCGGCTAGAGAACAGCGATAGTAAATCAGAACCACTTGCAGAATTGAGTGATAATGATTTGTGGGGAAATTTTCCTAAAAATTACAGCCTACAATAAAAAACTATTTCCATGCGAAAAAATGGTACCGCTTTCAGCACAAAAAATCGGAAAGAATCATACCACTAGGGAGGTTAATATCACTTCATGAGGGTAGCCTGAGGGCCCAACGTCCTCTAGTGGGCCCTGTGCTCACTGCCCAGCACCATAGAGCTCGATTGGCATTTGCCATTGAACACCAGAATTGGCAGGTCGCTGACACACTGGGGTTTATTTACTAAAGCTGGAGAGTCCAAAATCAGACTCCCTTCTGCATAGAAACCAATCAGCTTCTAACCTCAGCTTGTTCAATGAAGCTTTGGCAATGAAACCTGAAAGCTGATTGGTTTCTATGCAGAAGGGAGTCTGATTTTGGACTCTCCAGCTTTAGTAAATAAACCCCACTGTACTTTTCACAGATGAGAGCAGGTTCACCCTGAGCACATGTGACAGACGTGAAAGGGTCTGGAGAAGCCGTGGAGAATGTTATGCTACCTGTAACATCGTTCAGCATGACTGTTTTGGTGGTGGATCAGTGATGGTCTGGGGAGGCATATCCATGGAGGGATGCACACACCTCTACAGGTTACACAATGGCACCGACTGCCATTAGGTATCGGGATGAAATCCTTGGACCCATTGGCAGACCCTACGCTGGTGCAGTGGGTTCTGGGTTCCTCCTGGTGTACGAGAATGCCTAGCCTCATGTAGTGAGAGTATGCAGGCAGTTCTTTGAGGATGAAGAAATTGATACCATTGAATGACCCCCCTGCTTGCCTGACCTAAATCCAATAGAACACACCTGGGATATCATGTTTTGGTCCATCCGACGCCTCCAGGATGCACCTCAGACTGTCCTGTAGCTCAGTGATGCCCTGGTCCAGATCTGGGATGAAATACCCCAGGACACCATCCGTCGTCTCATTAGGAGCATGCCACAATGTTATCAGGCATGCATACAAACACATGGGGGCCATACAAACTACTGAGTACCATTTTGAGTTGCAGCAATGAAATTTCAGCAAAATGGACTAGCCTGCTGCATCATTTTTTCACTTT